CATTGCTTGAGTCAAAACTCACTACTCACTAAGCCACTGGAGCCCCAATGACAAAGTTCTATCTGCTCGATACCTAGTTTTGAGAAATTTGACGTTAAAACTTTTGAGTTTCACAACATGTCAAGCTTTTACCAATGCAATTTTGTGCATATCTTGATAACTCCGTATGTTCTTACGATTTTGAAAGAGCAGATTTGGTTTCTGACCTCATGGTCTTAGTAGCTCAAAATGGTCCAAAATGTCAGATAGAACTTTGTAATTTTGATTTTGAGGTAGCGCAGAGCCAACCCAGTCTGGAAGGGATAGATCTCAGCAGAAAGACCAAGATACTCGATAGAAATTCATCCCACACGGGGATCGAACTTTGGTCTTCTGCTAGCGATGGGGAAACGATTCTAACACCTTTCCTGCAACCATTGTAAGTTGTTGGGGTGATAGTTCTTTGTCCAGTTTCGCGTGTTGTTATGTGGCAAGGAATGGGACAGACCAAAACACCCTCATGACGTCATTTCTTTTTTTTTTGTGTGTGTGTGTGTAAGTGTCTTGTGGCGCTCGCAACTGCATAAGGCTGTCTTCAGAGTAAGTTGCATTTAAAAATAGTAAGAGTTGCAAGAAAAATTAGAAAAAGTTGCAAGAAAAGTTGCAAAACGTGTATAGCTAAAAAAAATGTCATGGAATTATTGGACTACATTGTTGGATGTTCATTGCAAGCAAAGTAACCAACATGAGTTTTGTAAGATCAAATCCAAAAGTTGAATGTGAATGTCTACAAAAAAGCCCAACCCCCCCCCCCGAAAAAAACAAAAACAAAAACAAAACTGCATGGAGGTTGCATGGTGTACAAAAACAGTTTGTCCCCTGACACATGCGTCAGGACCTTAAACTCTCGCTGACGTTGGGCTGGTGTGACCAGTGTGGTTTGGGACTGTTCAAATATATAATCTTACACCTTTTTGGGGACTTTTTGCACCCCCTCCCACTTTTACATTACTATTTTTTTTACATTTTCCAGAGGAGGGGGCAAAGA